CAAGGAAGTGAATCTGTTTATGTGTGCACATGTTTGCCCCAACCCATGAAACGCACCTCACTAACTGAAGCCTCTAATTTTAAGACACGACTCTGGGTGTTAATGACACACCAGTGTGGGCTCATCGTTTCTGATTTCTCATCATTTATAAACGTTCCTGTGATGAGTGATGTTGATTATGAGTTCTCTATTCATAGAGCAGAGCACGCAGTGTATGAGAAATCCCTATACCGTCTGCTCAGTTTTGTTGTCAACATGAAGTTGCAATGAAAACTCATTATGGCAAAAATGACAACAGAAATAGAAATGCACATGGACAACTAGATGAATTGTCTGACTTGACTTGGATGAAGGTAGAATGTTCACAGTTAGAGGAACAGATAGAATGGAAGATGTCTTATCGCTTGTGTATGCATAATTCTGACACAGCAGGAAAAATGGTGTTATTGCCCAGGAAATAAGGTAGGAGAAGTGGTGGTAGTGGTCCAGAGTGCCTTGGCAACCATCATCCCTTTTGAGTTACTTGAGAGAGTCATTGATGGCCTTGATTCAGGGAGTTGCATTTTGGGTAGATTGTTTTAGCATGGTTTTAGCATAGAATCATTTTAGAATAGCTAGAAAATGTATTGATAAATTTTAAGGAAGAGATAGCTTTTTTTTTTGGAATAAGGAAGATCAGGATAGAAACAAAAAGAGGGAAGGATCAGAGTAACAATCTGTACTATTTAATACAATTGAATGACAACTTAATAAAATTGAATAACAGTTACTCAAATCTGTAAATACATTCATGATTAGAGTCAAAAGAGAAGGAGATTGTTGTGTTCCTACTATAAATGTGGAGAGCAAAGACTTAGGTAGAGAAACCCATGGATAAAAGATTATCAAGAGGCCAGTTTTGAAGAACATGAACATTATTGACGAAAATGACATACTACAGTGCAAAAATGGTGACTGTGGTTTCTAGAGCTATCAGAATGAAACCATGTTAAATAAAAGTTGGGTTACATTATACAGATTTTATAAATTGTTTTCAGACCTGTAAAATGGAGTCAAAGATATGGTGAAGGAAAATTATAAGAGTTAATGGCTCTTTATATTAATACTGAGATAGATGTAAGGTGACTTCAGTGTTGCAGATAGGTTATGGGATAACATAATCACTAATAATGCAAGGCTGGCTCTCTTTTCGTCTCTATTGACTAGAAGGAATGACAGTTTGGGGTTTTTTTTAAGAAAAATTCATTTTAATGACATAAGTAAAATAATGCCCATATTTCACATTACGTTCAAGATTGTTCCTCACAAAACTGAAATTTTTTTGGTAAGTAAGTAGAGTAAGCAGACAGTGAGCGGAACAGTAATGTTGGCCCCAGTTTCTTGGTTTTCTGCTCCTGTGATCTATCTAAACAATTCATTTAGTTTCTTCCATCCATCAAATCCTACACATTTAGTACCTCAATTTTACAGATAAGAAACTTGAGGATTACAGTATGTATATAACTTACCATCACCAAGCAAAGTCGTTGGTAGGGATTTTTGAAAGAAGACACCTGCAATGCTAATTGTAAAAGGAAATGAATGAATAAAACATACTCCTTCAAGATTTTTAAATTCCAAATGGAAATAATTATTATTTGTTATGTATAAATATTGAAATAGGGCTGTGATTTTCATATAATTATTTCTGTTGTTAAAGCATCAAAGTACCTATTAGTAAGTACTTGCAAGTATAAAAAGATACTTTTTTTTTTAATGTTAGAATCAATTAGCCTTTGTGCTATATTGGAGATAGCATTGCTTACTTAGTGGGGTTATCTAGTATAGCTCCAAAGTTTCTGCCTCTCAAAGCCCATATAAAAGTACCCTCCGATACCTATGATTAATTTAAAAAATTATCCACATACATGGCCTCAAGCCAATTGAATGGAGGGATTTTCTCAATTAATGTGTACACTTTTCAGATGACTCTAGCCACATTGATAAAAAAGCAATTCTGTACAGTTGACTCCTTGTGAACTTGACATACAAACAGACCACTATTACACTATAACTTTTCCTATTTTTTGTTTACCCCAAGGTCTCATACTAATATCACAATATAAAAATAGCTTTAAAAGCCATATTAAGTTCTTTCTTACTCCAGGAAGGAAGAATCCAGGCACAGCTGCAATCAAATTAAAGTACAACTAATATCCAGTAGTGTAAAAAATTCTGTAGCTCAGTGGGTGACATTTCAGAATCACAGTCTTCTGTGTTCCAAAAGGCTTGGGGAACTCCAGGACTGCAACCCACAATATATGCAGCTTATCTTGTAGGCTAACACTGACTCTGTCCTATAGCCATCACTGTGACTCCTGATCATCCAACAGTCCTGGAATCTTAAAAATCCTGGGGTCTGCACTGCAACTGAGATGTCCCAGTAGCATCTCCTGGGCACTTCTCAGGGATTCTAACCTTGCCCTATTGTGGGAAACTTAGCTTCTCCCCATGTGTATCTTCTATTCTTCAATATCCATGCTATCAAACCCGCTACCACATGGAAGACTTCTATATATTACTGAGTTTAGTTGGCATCTTGAGATACAGCCATGGCTGCCCTAGGCCATCACTGTGTGCTGACTGGGGAAACATGTCCCAAAAGATTTCACTTTGAAGATGCTGGTGTCTTGTCAATCACAGCAAAGCCTTTAGTCCCAGACAGCCAGCATCTACTGTCCAATTAATGCAATATCTTACTTAAAAGATTCTTGTTTATTGTTAATTACACCTGATTCTACAGCCCACACTGACCAGAAATGACAACATCTTAATTCAAATTATCATATGAATAGCCCCAAATAGTTTTTAAGGGATTCTCAAAGCCCCTTAGGAATCTTCATAATTCAAGTTTTCATTGTTGGCCTTTATTTCTTCATACCTATCTTACATGCTTCCACCAAATAGCACATTAACCTTTGAACACTCAACAGTTTTCAAGACCAAAGCTTCAAACACTTCTACAGTCTTCCCCAAAACAACACGGTCAGGTCTGTCACACTTGCCTATTCTCTGGTGACAATTTCTGTTCTACTTTCTACCGCTTTGATAAAACACTGGCCAAAAACAACTTATGGGAGGCAATGGTTTATTTCATCTTGCAGCTTATAGTCTATCATGAAAGAAAAATCAGAACTGGAAGGAACCTTTATCAGGAACTGAATTAGAGCTATGGAGAAAGCTGGTTTTTGGTTTGGTTCCCATAAAACCTAGGGTCAGATATCCAGGGACTGCACAACCAAAGGTTGACTTGGTCCTCTCTTATCCATCATTAATCAAGAAAATGTCCCACATAGTTGCCTACAGGGCAGTGTGATGAAGAAGGCATTTTCTCAGTTGAGGATCCCTCTTCCCAAATGACAAGGAAACTAATCAGCACAAATGAAACACAAATTACCTTGCTTAACTGAAACTTCTGCCAACCATAAAAGTTAATGTTATTAATGCAATACAATTGCCATAAGAAAATGCCTACCACTAGAAAACAGCATCTTGTTTCCAGAGACTGTTTTGTTATTATATAGTTGTGTTAGCTGACTAGTTATTTTTTCTTCAATAAGTACATATCCCTGATATCTATAGTCTACTATTTAATGAGTTAATTGTAGTGCCCGTGGACTAAAAGAGCATTCATGGAAATAATATTATATTAATTTCTCATTAATAGAAGCTTTGTACACTTGAAATAAAGTTCCTATTTGTCTTTCAGTTTTAAGGTTGATTGATTATTATTTATGTTCCCTGTTGCTATGATAAAATATAACAACAAAAACAATGTAAGGAGAAAGGTTTTATTTTGGTTCACAGTTTGAGAGTGTTGACTATCATGGTGAGAAAGTCATGGTGGCTGGGAGGCTGCTCATCACATTTTTGTCTACACCCAGGAAGCATAGGACAATGAATATTCTGTCTCCTTTCTCCTTTTCATTATGTCCAGCTTCTAATCCAGGGAATAGTCACAGTAGGAGTGTTTTTCCACCTCAATTGACCTATTATAAATAATCCCTAAAAGCATGTCTTGAGTCTAAAATCACCTACACAATCCCTCAGTCATTTCTCAAGGTCTTTCTAACTTCCCAGTTGGGGTAGACATTTTTTCAAAATAGCAGTAACAGTCACATCCATATTCAAATGTTTCTAAAACTGAAAACATGCTTTGAGAGATAGCACAGTATATATTGCAAAGATGTTTGATGAAATGGCTTAAGGTTGAAATTTCCCTTCTCTAAGGAGGAGAGGAGATAATGTGGGAGGGGCTTTTGAGGGTGAGACTGGGAATAGAGGAGGGTGGGAGGCTGTGATCAGGATGTAAAGTGAACAAATAAATAATTAATGAAAAAAATTGGTTCATGCCTCAGACCTGGAAGAGATTGATTATTTTCAATCTCATCTCCAAGTTAGTCTTCTTTATTTGGATCAAACACAAGCATAACATTTGCTTTATGCAATAAAGTTTAGAATCTATACTTGACTAAATTTGTGCTCTTAGAGATTATTATCAATGAGATTCTTAGAATACTCTCTATATTATTCCTTAATCCTTTGCTAAACTGACAAAGTGTTTCAAAGTGCCTCTAAACAGTTGTAACAAAGGCGAGGTTTAAAGGTAGGACTTGTATACTTGTATTTATTTACATTAAAAAAATTTCTACCTATATTTAGCATCAGTCATATAGGCTCATTATTTTTTAGCTCCCTTAGATTTTTAAAAATTGTTATTTTCGTGATGAATTGTACCAATTAATTATAGATCATTTATCTTAAAGCCTTGTCTTAGTAATATACTAGTTTTTAATCCCAAATAAATATTCAGTCATTGAAAAAAATAATGTTTGAAACCAACATTTATTTGCTGTTCTCTTCTACATTTTGCTATATACCTTCAACAGTTGTTTTCTAAATGGAAAATGGCCGATTACTTTCTACATCCTAAACTGTAATTTTTTTCTTATTTATTGTAGGTTTTACTGGGATTTAATAATGCTTATAATGATGGTCGGAAATTTAGTCATCATACCAGTTGGAATCACATTCTTCACCGAACAAACAACAACACCATGGATTATTTTCAATGTGGCATCAGATACCGTTTTCCTGTTGGACCTAATCATGAATTTTAGGACTGGGACTGTCAATGAAGACAGCTCGGAAATCATTCTAGACCCTAAAGTAATCAAGATGAATTATTTAAAAAGCTGGTTTGTGGTAGACTTCATCTCATCGATCCCAGTGGATTATATCTTTCTCATTGTAGAGAAAGGGATGGATTCGGAAGTTTACAAGACAGCCAGAGCACTTCGTATTGTGAGATTTACAAAAATTCTAAGTCTCTTGCGTTTATTACGCCTTTCAAGGTTAATTAGATACATACACCAATGGGAAGAGGTAAGCTGCATGTTTTTCTTTCTTAACGTCACTCTATCATGGGATTTTCATGATGACTATTTGAGTATGTATGTGTTATATTTAATGAACTGCAAGAAGTTTAAGAACAAATGATTTGCAGAGTCCTCCATTCTGGTATTTAAGTGATATTTATGTCTCTGAATAATTTCAGCCAACTGAGAGTAATTATAAAACATTCTAACAATTGAATATATTTTCTGCAAACACACTTTAACTGACATATTGTTATCCCAGTCAATGTGACTTTTCTTATGCGTTAGAAGATTCTATTTAAGAAAAATATGTCAAATTTATCTTTGACAAAGATCTATAGGGTATGATTGGTAATCTAGTATATTATCCTGTATAAAAGATGATAAAGTATGTTCCTAACAATATTGGAATTTCACTGAATTTACATTTGTCATTTTGGTTATCTCTAAAGTCTATAAATTCAGATTTGAATTCAGCATACTAAATTTGCTCATTGTTTTGTCTTCTTTTCTCCCAATTAGTTCATTTCATAATAGTGAAAACCCAGAATATGTAGGAAGGAAATAACTACATAGAAAACACAAAGGAGTCATTCCAGTGATTCTAGCCAGTCAGACCTCTTTGCTGCTGAATAGGGCATCTGCTGTTCTTAGACAGTGTGTGGGGTGGTGAAAGAACCCTGCCAACTCAAGTTTCCAAAGGACCGAGTTAAATATACCACCATCAAGCAAATGAGTACCTCTTTCTACCGTTAGTACATTAACCTTTTTTTTTTTTGGCTTTTTTTTTGATTCATAAGCACAGCCCTTTGTATTAATTATAAACTGGACTTGATTGTCTGCATAATAATGAAAGTCAAAAGACCTCCAGAGTATCCAATGGAACACTAATAAAAGCACTCCACTGACTCTAGATTATTGGTTTATTCCTACAGAAATGCTGGTTGGTATTTTTCATGAAATGGAAGTTTTGTTCACTTTCTGGGCAGCTGTAGCAATGTTTTTGTGGAGGCTTGTCAATGGCATTTTGGTTCACAGGATTTTAGGAAATGACACACAGTAATAAAACCCTGCATACTACACTGATGAAAACAATAACATGGATCATTTTTAAAATATGGAACTGGAATATATTAAAAATGAAATAAAGCATATAGGAGAAACAATGCACTTGCAATGTTTCTATACATTGTGTATACGTAGAAATGAGAATTAACATTCACTTCTCAAAGCCTTTTCACGGATCTGAAAATTCCAATCCAAGATGATTCTTGATAATCTCCCCCCCAATATATATTGGAGGTCTTATATTAATTTGATAAGCAGTTTTTGATCCTTTGTACAAATTAGCTCAGTGAATCTTTTCTACAACCCGGTGAGATAGAGTCTATTGTTGTTAACAGATGATGACAGTTAAACGCACTACAGTTCCTTGCCAGGGTTAAGAGACTGGGATGAGGTGGAGCTGGGATTTCTGCCTTGGCAATATGACTCCAGAGCCATGGTCTTAACCTGTATAACTGTACAGTTCTTACTGTGGGTTGTGCTTTTGTACCCCTTCAGCTCACTGCTTTAAAGCTTGTTTAAGGAGCTAAACGGAGGTTTTCTTACTTGAGCATGTGCTCATTGCAACATCATAGAACCAAGAAAGTAATTCTTAAAGCAAGGCCATAATAATATTTTGACAAATAGTTAGTGAGACAAAAGTCGTGGATAGAGCTGCCCAGTCAATTAAAAATACAGGAGACAGTGTGACTATTTTTAATGGCTTTCAGCTTTAACCCAGTTATCCCAGAGAACGTCAGCAGGATGAACAGATGGCATCCGATCAGATAAAGTGACAGAGCATGTGGTCACAGAGGACACTCTTTAACACCAACATTTTCGGTTCCTGGCATGGTCACCAGCACCTAGGTCTGTTCAGCATGACAGGATTTTAAAGGTGCCCGAGATATCATTCAGAAACATCAGCTGTCTGACATCATTATTGTGAAATGCAATCTAATATGCACTTAGAGAGATTTGCTAACCACACACATTCATGGCAGCACTGTGAGTTGGCAAGATCATTCTTATAAATAAATGACCTTGGTAATAAATGAATCAGAAGCTCATTTAGCTGAAGAATGTTTTCTTGGTTATCTGATACACCCATATAATAATATATATCATGAATGTTTAATGACTGCTAGCAATACTCTTAAAGAAGACTAAAATTGGAATAACACTTGAGAATTTAATATAAATTCATTTATTCCACCTACACAATTTAAAACATAATCACACACACACACACACACACACACACACACACACACACTCACACACACTCACAAACCAAAACCAAAAATCAAACAATCAAACAAAAACTGTTGAATGGCTTCCAAATTGGCACATCTCCACCTGACTTTTATAAATGCCATCAGGATGCGTTTACAAGTAGAAGTACAAGTTAATCAGCAGAAGTAGCTGTATGAGTTGGATTAAGACTGCAGAGGAAGATAAGAGTTCACCCACATGTCTTAGAGCTCTGAGCATTTTAGTACCAGGCTGGCTAATGCTAAATTCAGCATACTTGGGGAAGTCGCGTGTGAAGTCTGGAAGCTGCCACTGTTCTAAATGAATCATTCGCAAGGAAAGCAGCTGCCTGCTATAGAGAACTGTGTTCAGCTTGGAGATGCATTTTTTTCCACCCACAGCCTGGATTAGTTCAACTAAAATACAAGATGTTCTGAAGCCAGAGAAATTAGAGAAATCTTATGAATGAGATGCAGGAAGTTTAAAATTTACTCCTTATGGTCCATAGGTGTGACATGTGTTAAAGGAAACCTTTGATGGGGATGATCAATTTATGAAATTCTCTGGGATTAATTTATAAAGGGTGAAGTTACACTCTTAAGTCAATTTGTAAGATCAATGATTTATGGTGTAAACACAGAGCTCTTTGCAAGAGGTTAAAATTGTATATGTATGTATATATATATACATATGTATATATATGTATATACATATATTGTCAGGTGATATGAAAATCTGAAGAAATTTAGATAAATTAGCCTAGAATAATTTCCCAGAGTATAATCTTTCTTTTGTTATAAAATTTCCATAATTAGCATAAATGGGTTCTTCTTACTTTAGTGTTTTTGTTTTGAAAACTCATTATTTTAATTCAGTGATATCCCTTTTCATATTTGAAGTATGCCAGACCTCCAGGCCTGAACTGTTTTATAATCTAATACATGAGAAACAATTCTATATGACCCTCCTAAAAGACACATATGGTGAGGAAATCCTTGAAAATTAAATGGACCATTATTAACAATTTGTGACGATCACAAACCTCTAAAGAGATAAAGACCAGATTAAAAGCTTAGCAAACTGGGGATTATTCACTGTATAAAAGTAAGGGGTTCTCAAAACCTCAAGTGACCTGTCTGTTGACCTCACTCTTTTTGTCAAAGAGAGACGGCCCTTGAACATTTTTACAGCCTCATACAATATTAATTGAAAGCATAGACATCACCTTGATTATGTTTACTGTGTTGTGTGATTACAGTCACAAACCTATGACGGATATTAAGACAGGAGAAAACCATGAGTCTCAGGGCAGCCTTAGCAATGAAGTAAGATCTCAACATAGAAGTAACTGAATGACAAATAATATTTGGCAAAAATTATTTTCTCTTGTAGGAGGTTATTCAATTGTAGGCTTCAGTGACCCAACTAAGCTGGGCATTCCTTCATGAGTGATGTAACAGATAGTTCAATGCATGATTATTTAGTAACCACAGGTCTTTGGTATCCATCACACTTTATTTATTCCTCATTTCCTGTCTCCCCTGTTTCTTTTTGTGTGGATTTTGTGCATATTACAATGAAATAAATGCACTTTGAGGCAGGAAGGGAGCCTTGTAGCTATGAACATCTTAGGCAGAACAGTTGCAGAAGGATAAATCTTGGCATGTTACGATGTTTTTCTACTAATCAATACTAGATTGTGATGTTGGATCACAGAGAAAGACTTATCTACAAATTATGAACCATAGCACAGAATTGTTAAGGAGACTCAGCCTTATAGGGAACTAAAGCAGAATTTGATTTCTGGCTTTGGTTAATTTTAGCATGTTATTTGATACAGACTAGAACCTAACTCTTTCTATAAATTATCTGCTTATTAAGCATTTCAACGTATTTTAAGCACTTCTGTTTTTAGAAAACACATGAAATTTCAAGTCTTGTCATAAGCAAATGAAATGTTGGCCTAAATTTTCCCTAGGCTAGAACATAAAGACTCGCTATTACCCGTCACATCCAATCTGCTTTCATGTGCCTTCAAGATTCTTCAGCACATTGACTCAATTCACCATTGTTGCCTTTTTGGTTTTTTTGGTAACATTCGCTTAATTTTAGTTTTAATATGCTTGAAAGTAATGGTTTTCTCCAATATTATAATTTTTCAGTGGAAACTTCAGATTGAAAAATCAATCTCCATCTGCCCTTTAAAAATCAATTCAAAGTCATTTATAGAATGTATTCTACCTGGATGCACTGTTATAATGGCCAATACTGGATTATATACTGGCTCTGAATACTCCAGTTCTTGATACTTAGTTATATGTGCTGTCTTTCTTTTCTTGACATGGGCAATGTAGATGAAACAGTCCCTTTTTATTTTGCCCTTGAGACTCCTTGTGTACCCGGACAGGATCTTAAACATGGTGTATCACTGAAGATGCTATCTGTTTCACACATGGTGATCTAAGGGCTAAATCCATTAAATATATGAAGACTATTTATTTTTTATTTTGAAGCATTTCTTCCAGTGGTGTTGACTTATAACTGCTAATGCGTAGAAACATAAAGCAGATGTGGCTTTGTAGGAAAAGCAGACATGTGGATTCATAATCAATCATAGATGATATTCTAATTAGTGACCTGAAACAGGAAGTGAACAATTTCCACTGTACACCAAGAAGCTTTCCAAGATGCTTGAACTGTGTATGACAC